AAAACAAACATCCAAGTTTTCATTTCCGCGGTTTTCTTATTTGTTTTTCGGGACAGTGCTCCATCTTAACTGTGTTGATTAAAGCCATGCGTACCTTTATCAGCTGCTTTAATATACCACTTAAACAGGCTGTAATCGAAAATACTCGCATCAAGTAAGACTTAGTTGTGTTTTCCATAACGTTGTCTGCAAGGTTTGGTTGAGATTTAGTACCGTAAATTTATTATGCTGCTAGTGAAAACTCAACCGCACGCCGTATGCATGTAATTTTGTAAGCTGATAGACAAAAATTAATATTATTGATTAAGTTCCCGGCGCTTGAATTAACCGACAATAGAAGATGCTATTAGAACTTGTCAGGTAAAAACAATATGATGCAGTTTACGCCTGTTATAAATTCTGGTCTGCACGTATACCGCTCTATACAGCGATCTAAAAAATGCGAGTCGGGCTTGTGTTCCTATAACCTATAATTGTGCATGGTCATGTTGTTTGTGCGAATGAAGTGAGACACTTGTTCCAGCGCTCATTAGAATATTAGTAAGAACAACAGCATTTCACGAGCATCCCCGAACACTCATGGTCAATAATAATGCTGTACAGTACACACTCGTAGCTAGTCGAAACAGTTACAGTAATATAGATTAAACAAAAGTGGTTTACCAGCTAAATACGATACCACATCGATAATATTCGACATCAAATGTCCAATGCTTATCACGGCTGCATACTGAAGTGGTGCTGTACTCCGGCTGCATACTAACGACTTTGGTTAGTCCGATACAGAGGATTAATACAAAGGATAGAAGAGGCCGATACAAAGGATCAACAGGCCACGGTTTTTCTGCAAAGCAACAAATTTTATTAAGCGGCGGTGGAACAGCAGCGACAGGGAACGATTACAGTACATGAACATCCGCGCTCACCTCGGTTAAATGCTAAGACGACTAAGGGCACCCCACACTTTCTTCACCGCACCCCGAGCATCTTTCGCCTGTCTCCCGCGTCCACGGCGCGCAGGTGGATACGGTGAATATCGGCACAATCGGCGGGCGCCGATCTGTGCTTTCAGCTTCAGTCGGGCGTTGGTCATCCGTGGCACACACACGGTCTCCTGATGCTGTACCTGCTGGCGACGCACCTTCCTCAAGGTATCCACAGCAGCCTCGATCTTCTGTCCACTCAGCGGCAGCGTGTACAGCGACTTGATAGCCATTCTGACCCCCGAGACCGTGATCCGGTTGTTGTCAACCCCGGCGCGCATGGCTGCTTCCAGTAATGTCTTTTCGCCACGATATTCATGAAGCATTCGTTCGCAGCTTTTTAGCCGGTCATCTGCCATTCCCGCGGCAACCTTATCTTTTTCTTCGGAGATAATATGATTTAAGTAATCCTCCATGGAGTCGTTGTACAGTAGGATAGCGTTGTTTTTCAAGAAGCATCCGAATTTGGCCGCCACTTTACGCATCTCCGCTTCTTCCGCTTGCAGTCCACTGATGCGTTTCTCCAAATCCTTCATGAATTTCACTACGGCATGTATTTCGCCATCTTTTTCGCCTAATAACTTCATCACATCCTGATCCACTACGTTTTCGTCACTTCGCGGGTCTCGTAGGCGACATGCGTGTGCTTCTCCCAGGAACATTTACAGTGATTGCACACCTCTCCAGTGGGCTGCATTGCCGTACACTGTTTCAGCTCCGGATTCGGATACTTTCCTTGTTCGATCCCCACTAAATAGCAGTGCTCATGACACCATTTACTATAGTGCGCTTTTTTCTCCTTTTCCCCGATCACTCGGACACAGGAGCTCGATGTGCACACGGTTCGCGGATACGCCAACGCTACGGTCACCAAATCAGCTACCGGCACATGCAGGTCACGCTCCAATTGCTGCTTACTCAACTGTGTCTCCTGGATCATCTTCGCTTTTACGCCAGCTAGCTTCAGGTTGGTTTGGACGTTCAAAGTCACGTGGGCCAGTGGTTCGGTAAAGGTCAAAATCAGGCGGCGCACATCATTCAGGGACAGCGTATTCTGCAGTATGTGGGGCACACGAGTGGCAATGTGCTCCAGCAGTCGGTTGGCCTCGGTCACGGACTTCTGGTAGCTTTCCCCGATACTGCGCATCTCCGCTGCCGGATACTCTACTCCACATTTTACGGCCGTCAAAAAGCTCACAGCTTCACAGTCCATACAGTAGACAGTCTGCGGAGTCAGCGGAATATCCGCACTTAATCCTTGGTCGTGGATCAGTTTCCGCAGAACCGGAAATGTATCGCCAGGACGGTAGAAAGTCGCTCTGGTGTGAGTAAACACAAACACGATGTTATGACAGGCTTCGCGGTGCAGATGCGTCAGCAATTCCTTGATGCAGAAGCGGAACATGACGTTCAAGCGGGAATCGTTAGGCTTCAGCAAAATACAAATTCCGTGGATGACCTCATAGCTGGCCAAATGAGTCATAATGAACTGGAAATTTTTCTTATCCTGCTCGACGCCCCGGGTGTCCGCTATTCCCGGTGTGTCAATCAGGCGGACGATGGTGTCGCCCTTCTTCAGACGGTAGGTCTTCGGGAGCTGCGTTACGGATTGACCGGCTGTATGGTAGTGCTCATTGACACTTTCCCCCATGGACACCACTCGTGGCTGCAGACCGTGATCCGTGACGGTGAAGCGCATTGGAATCGGTGACTGCGGTTCGGTAAAAGCTTCGTCCAGTGTCATGTGCGTCACAAAATTTGCCATACCGTTCAACCATGTAGATTTCCTCACGCCGGTCTCACCTGCAGAAAGCATGTTTCAGTTTCAACTACGTATTAAGTAACTAGTCTATAGCGCCCGGTAAAGACACAAAAACGACAACTGTATCTGCACAACGTCTCTGTACAAACGTATCTGTACAACAGGGATCACTTACTATTACACGTTGCTAACCAGTAACTGCCTAACTGACCAACACTGGACTTCATACGGTACAGTCACTATTCGCCTATATTACTCCACTAGTCACTTGAACAGCCACGATATCACATTTATAACGACCTGATACTTTAAAACCGTATACCTTAAAAAAGTGGTTGTTGTTATTTCGAGTTCCCCGACTTGCGTCGGCGTACACTGCACTGGCTCGAAAGTTCCATCAGCAGCAGATACAAAATCCAAGTGTACAAATTTTCGTAAATTTGCATTTACATAATTTCGCACGCGTGATGGTAACAAACTAAAAACTTTCACTGTCCTCAATCGAGCAAAACTGTTTTCATTGTATGGAATAAAGGATGCTGTCTATTAAAAGTTACTTAACTAGCAGAATTATGAAAATACACGTTTTTTTGGTAGCAGTTCAACGCCTCACCGAACATGGCAAAATTATAATGTGGGTTTAAAGTCCCCTTCGATTAGGTTGGCAGTGAAGGTAAAACTAGATTTAAATCTTGAAAACTGTGAAGTACAGTAATGAATACTGTACACATAGAGTGCACTGAAAGCGCACTGATGGAAAGAAAGCGAGCATTTTGACTCACCAAGAACCAGGATATTAAGTTCTGTAGGCGGCTTCATCTCTGTCAACGCACAAGCTAGATCCGTTGGCTCGAATGATAAAAATCCTCCACCGTGCGTGCAACGGAACACGAACGACACTGCCGGGGCTTTCCGCATCCACAATACAAATTATCGTCGAAATTATAATCGAATAGCTGACCGCACGCCACACAGGTCCAAGGAAACCGCTGTTGAACGGAACAGCAATTCCTGCGCCGTACTCCCGGACACGGCAAGCGAACCGTCACGCCTCGCACTGGGCGGGGAGAATGTTCATGGGTGACGCGTGACTTGGCGGCAGTGCAGGTCGGATCAATATCCGGTCCAACAGCCAGGTTATCGCGAATCAGCATTCCGTTGCTGTAGTGCAGAAGGGTCGTGGATGCTGGGTCTCTGGATGACTGTTGTCCTGAGAGCCACGACCCGACAAAGACGAAGCGGGACTGATCAGATCCAGCGGAACAATTTTCCATCAAACCAAGGAACATCTCCAGAGCATCATTAAACTCGCTGGGATTGGTGGAGCTGGCTTGCCGGTTGGTATGCAGGACGTACACATCGGCGACTTCCTTGATTTTGTCAACAAAATCACCGGGGATGTCGCCGAGAATCAAAACGGGTCGGGTTCGTAAGATCTGCAGCAGGCCTTCCCTGCTGATAGCAGCCCAGTTGGTCGGTGGGTCAGAAAGTGAATTGTTGGAGACAAACTCTGGTTCGTGCTTGACCCTCAGTGCTGCAGACATCCTAAATGAACGGAAAAATCAGATTAGCTTCACATCAACACAGGATAATCCTAACCGCATAAGCTTTGCTTCATACAGAGTACTGTTTCAAATTAACGCTGGTCACCTTTCTTGTTAACGCACAGAAAGCCGTATGAAAGGAGTTTGTTAAGAAATACCAGGAGGAAACAGGTACGGTATCAGAAAGCAAACGATCGAAAGGACAAAACGCTAGTCATACAATCTTAACGCGTAAAAAGGCTGGTGAAATTTTAAAACAACTCCACTCGTCTTAATGTCTGCACTTGTAAATCTGTAATGTCTGCACTGGTGGTAATGCGTGCACCTTGTTCTTAACTCTCCAGTCTCTGTTCCGACTTCAACCGGCGATGACGATTCGGCATAGGTGGAAATCGTGGGAGCTTGGCTCAACAATGATTCACCACACCGCATCAGGCAGCTGGTCAAAGGAGCCGCCGATTATCTTGGCTAGCAACGATAACAATCCATGGGCGCCGCAGTTTTTGCGTGGCGCGTTTTTGACAGCGGTCAGACAGCACAGATTTCGCTTACGCCTTACACTATCGTTTTCCGTAACCATTTTCATAAGAAATGCTGCTGAATAGTGTATCTGTACTACAGTCTACAAGTACTATACGAGTGCGCTTGTAAATACTGTAAATTCTGGCTAAAAACGCAGAACCATTATTTTTTTATTTCATATTTGTCGGTCCATCGCAGAGACAGAGGATTGTAAAAGATTTTGTCCCGAGTTATAAAATCATATCCAAGTAAAAAAATACTACGTAACGCATAGCAAACACAGTTTGTGAAGAAGTTTGTGAATGTTAGACTGACTGTCACAGAAGAACAAATAGTTATTGCTTAGTATCGTCTGTATCCCGGAGAATACCGAGGAGTTTGGTAGAATGATGCTCCCGAGAGAGAATTGTATGGGTAATAATCTTGCAATCTGTAGGGCGCCGATAATGTCTGATACTGACTGGAGAGGAGCGGCGTTTGATACAGCGAATTGCTGTTGTACACATCCGTGAAGAGCGGATTACAATTGGCATCCACCTGCAAAAAACCACAACCACAAATCGGTAAATGTCCATAATTGTGCATGGTGACAGCAAGCAAGTGAAGCAGCCAACTGACCTTTTCGGGCCAATCGCACACGCCCAGATAGTTGTTGAACTTGGTACCTGCCGCGCACGGCATCGCGTCCAGTCGGCCATCAGTCTGGCAGATGTAGTACACTTGGCAGTTGTACGTCGGGCTGCCGTACATTCCCGCTGGGTTGCCCAGGCAGTTGGGCTTCTCGAAGCCGGGGGCGGAGTAGAGAGTGAATGGGCTGGTGGTGTAGCCAATCGCGTTACTGAATAAATAAATCCATTCTTTGTATCGAAAGCGGGTATTCGGTTGTAACTTGTAACTACTACGGTTGTGTACTGTAATCTAGTAAAGTTTTTGAGATATAATTATCGGTTACCTCAAGCTCAATGGCGCTACTGCCGGAGAGACTGGATTCACTGGTGCAAGCAGCTGAGGATTCAGCTGATTCAGCTGAGGGTTCACGCTGAGAGGGGAGATAAAAGGAGCGGTCCCCCCGATGTTGAACTGGCGTTTCGGGAAGCGGCTAAATAACAAAGGTTCATATAGAACACAAGTTCATAATCAAAAGCAGAAATAACTCACAGAAAGGAGGGGAATGCCTTATAATGATAATGACCTTTCGAATTACTACAGCAGTCATGATTATACGTAACTATCCTTTTTAAACGCACTGAATGAAAGCGTTTAGTTGCGCAACGCTTCAATGTGGCGCAGAACACACAAAGTAAAATAAATAAACAAACACATATTGAAGGTAAATAAACAGCGATTACATACTCATCTTGAAGAGTGGATGCGCTGGCCGAACTTTCTGGCCGAACGAAGGATATCGTGGGATCGTCCGATTTCAGATCAAACATACTCCGGGTTCCGTTGCTCTGCGCAAAGGTGACCGCCACATAATTAACCGACAATACGAAAAACACCGTCTTGAGAAACATGTTGTAAAATATTGTGACCGAGGAGGATTGAGGAAATTTAATCTGCGAGCGTTCACACCGGTAATCTGAGCGACAGTATGTACCGTTATATACATGATGCGGATGATCTGCCGCATGGTACAGCAGCACGGCGACGTAATAGCACTTGACCAAGTGTCTCTGCCGACGTCGGATAAACAACAGCAAGTCAACCGCCACTAAACACACCATCCAACCGGCCACTTGGATGTTAATTTCAATGGTACTATCTGTGTGTTTTCGCGCACAGGGCACTTGATATAAGATATGACATTCTGCATATAACACGCCGCTGCTGAATGAAAAGAAATAGCTAAACGCTGCATCTTCACGGGATTATGCCGCTTTACAAGTGAACTTGTGACAAGCTAGAATGATTGTCTAAGATTCTGATGAGCAGCGATGACAAGGAGTTTCTTCAGCGATTATTTATCAATATGTAATAAACACTTAATGCTAAGATGTTGTCGATAACGTAATGCTCGGTGTAGGATGTTATTCTGCTTAATGACAGCAGTGAACCAAAGCTTTTTACTAAAAATATTAGCAACGTACAAAAAATTACAACCACCTGACATAAACATGACAATGCAGCTTCACGTTACAAACTTATAACATCGATCGTTAGTTATTCCTGTACTTTCTGCATACGAAGTTTGCCAAGTCAATTAATAGCAGAATATCGATCTGGTTAATTAATTAATTTATTAATATGATTAAATAATTCAACAAATAACTGCAGCAAATTGCCTTAAAAAAATTAATAACCGTAATAAAGGATTGATAATTAATCTATAATTGCTGCAACAGCGGATGAACTTTCCCAGCATTGTCTCAAGCAGTATTTAAACTGCTTAATAAGCCCCATCTTGTGACGTTGCTGTCATGATATAATCTTCTTGGATTTGCGACATTTGTCTACCATGGATAATGCGCTTAGTTTACGATCCACCTACATCCTGGCAAGTGATGATAATATGATCCGTAAATGCCTTCCGGGACAGGTGCACCAGTGGGACATCGATTTTATGTTTCAAGCACAATGTGGTGCTAAACTGCATTAATAATATGTGCATATGATTTGATCAATACTTTGTACGCTGCTGCTTAACACAATCGGCTAATTCTTCCCAGTTTTTTTTTGCACCCGTCAATCGTTATTTCTTGTATTCTCCTGAGATGTGCAGTAGAGAAAGGAACCCCTGCATCTGTTTTGGCGACAGATTGTACCAGTACAATACTTGTACCGCGAACGATCTCCGACCGCGGCTGACTTACACCCAACGGATGTGCTCCATTAAACACTGGCCATGGGCAGAGAAGGAGACCGCATAGTTTTTCTGCCACTTCCGCATTAACACAGCAGGATACATATTTCCCAGTTTCCGTTCACACCTTGGGCGCTTGGACGTATCTCTTATTCACAGCATGTTGCATGTTGTCGCTGCACCGGCGTCATGTTGGCGCACACGGCCACCTGTCAACAAACGCCGGATTCCAGATCTGGGAAGCGGTAGCTGCCGCGCTTTTTTATCGACGCTGGCATAGTGCAGACAGTGATCCATTTACGCTATTATACTGTATTTCTCCATTAAATGTGGATGTGGGCCGAACTTGTTGCTTTCGTGGATACTTAATTGTATGTACTGATGTGCATACAGATACGTCAATCTCTAGATATTCTTCTATGGAAAATTATGCGTTTCCGGAAGCAGTTGAGTGCTAAAAAACGTTTCTATGAATCAGTGGGTTATTCATACATTACAATTTAAAAACATGTGATTCCAGCAAATTTTCCTATCAGTTTGTTTTCATTTGTCGGCATAAAATAATTTTGCAATGAATGTGACAGTAAATAATACTGCAAATTCTTCTTACTTCGGACACACTTCGAAATCCCTTCTCACGCTCTGGGCAGCCTGCGACCTGTCGTCATGCATCATTGGATCATTCGCCAGTTTATTGGTTGTCATCTTGATCTTATCGCGCCGCCAACTGCGTCACGGATGCGGCTTAATCATCGTCCACTCACTGATCGCCAATCTCTTATTATGCGCCATCAGCTTTGTCATCTCCTGCGCGCTACTTTACCGCAAATCCATCGGCCTGGGCGCCATCCATCCGCACCACTGCAAGCCCATCATGTGGCTGCAGATGGCGCTGCGGTGCGCGGTCAACTGGCTGGAAGTGCTCATCACCCTCAACCGTTTAATCGCCATCTACTTCCCGCACCACTACCGGGTGTCCAGCGGGAAAAGGGTCACCGCCTGGACCGTGGCAGGGGTGTGGCTGGTGTCGGCGTTGTACGCGCTGCCGGCGTGGTTTGACGTGGGCGCGAAATACGCCCTAACCCCGCTGGGACATTGCGCCATCGCGGTCAACCCGGATAATCTTGGGGCGCTGAACAATGTCTTCGGGGCGTATCTGCCCATTGCGCTGACGGCGGTGTGCTTCGGGGTGATCTACGGGAAGCTGGTGGTGCGCAAACGGAACCCGGATGCGAGGGACAAAAGCGGCAGTGTGAAACGGCGGGCCCGCGTCATACCCATGTTGTTTGCCGCGTTCCTGTGGAATGCCGCGTGCTTTCTGACGATGCCGGTGACGCTCAGCAGTTCTCCGAATGTCTTCGTCACGGAACCGGCGCTGGTGCTGCTGTTCATGACGCTAACGGTTCTGGGATACAGCATGCAACCGGTAAGAAATGCAATAAAATAAACAGCTAAAGCTTTGAAGGCTTTGTCAGTTAGTGCAGTAAAGGCCTAATCAAAGTACATTTTATTTGTTATCTGTATTATCTGGGAACAAGCTATATGGAAATAAGCATCTTATCTCGTCTGACGTATGTACTCTGTGTGTTAAGAGAAGCAAATCTGTTACGCGTAGTTAACGGTAAATGTGATTATGAATAAATCCAGTTATAAGTACCTAACTTAGTTACAAGGCTGTAGGTCAAGTAAGCGAACCGCTCAAGAAGTAAAAGTTGTTGTCCTGCGTTCGTGAAACGCCAAACCATTCAAATAGCCTTTTTCCAGTTACTAGATTTTCTTATTTATTACTTTGAATTTCTGTATGCCATTTTTAACTCAGCAGAGAAGAAGAACAGCGCAAGAAAATCGATTCACTTATAAAACTGTTTTTTGTTTCAGGTAATTTTTTGCGTATTCAATAAAGACTACCGAGCAGCCTTTGCCTCTTTTTTCAACAAGAAGAGTCCCGTTGGTCCATCTGAAGGGAAATCCTCGGGGAATGTGACAAGACTAAGTGCCACCAATCAGCCAACAAAAACCAGAACGTCAGAGAGCGATTAAAATATTCTACCCGAAATAATCGGATTTGACTGACACTGCTAAGAAAAGCCAAAATAATCCGACCCTTAAAGATGCTGTAGTTGCAATATTATAATGGTGATAATTAATTGCCGTAATTCTGTTGTGCACCGTCATAATTGAAGTTGTAAAAAGTGCAGTGTGATCTTGTTATCGGCGGGTTGACGTTGTCAGCCGAGTAATTATTTACCATAATTGGTCGCAACTCGGAAGTGTCATGTGTTCGGTGAAAAAACGCTGGTGTTGGCCATAAAAATGTCGGAGATGTCTTGTGTGTACACTCATAAGTAAATTAGCCTTTAGCGATTGCAAAAGCTGTTTCTACAGTACGACGTGCTGTTACACAGCAAGGAATTTTACCGTAAAACTGTTGTCGGAAGGCATGCCGCTTCTGATCGGGTGTTTATTGCACGTCAATTTGTTCACATCGAAGCTGACAAGAACAAAAACATATACTGTACTTTACCTTTGTATTACGAACATATAATTTACAATGGAGAGCTTTCACATCGCCGTTTGCAAGTATTGCCTTTTGTGCCTGCTAATTTGGATTTATATCAGTGGTACGGTTTGCGTTATTTCCGCGGAACATGCAGTGTTTTGTGCAACAGTATTTGCTGGACGCATACACAGATTATTTGGCAATGCCGGTTTTTACAAAATTATACTGTAGTAACTGTAATGGAAGCAAACGTTTAGGGCAGCGATATATTGCAAAAGTTGTCCCTAAACCCTATTGAAACTACTGCAACGTGCTTATAATGCTACCACGTACAGAGTTTTGACCACCTGTTTAAAAGCGTTGATTACCTAGCAGCTAGCGTCGTATGAAACAGCACAATATTTTGTTATGCAGATAGCGTCCTTGTTCGTTAAATGTCCCGTATGAGTCGGTATGACCAATAACTTTATTTTTTACCACACAAATGTGGACATGCGGATTTGGCGATTTGATTCGTGCAACGTTTGTGTTATCTAGATGCTGGGGAACATGGTGGAGGCGGTGGTGGGGGTGGTGGCGGCGGGGGTGGCGGTGACTCATGGAATCGAGAGGAACGAGGGGTACGGAGAGTTCATCAGGGAGAATTTATAGCACAAAACCAGTGAAAGACGGGAGCACCTAATACTCAATCAGTCACTTTATTTGCAGCGAAACGGGAATCAGCAGTCTCGCGGTCATCAACGTTCACGAGGTCGCAACCACAACAATCGCAACTGTCAGCGCCGGCGGAATGGTTGTCATCAAAACCGTCATCACCAAAAACGTAAAGTTAACAGTTGTTGCTTAAATAAAAGAGACTGGTCGCCTTACGGGTTAATTTTATGAATGTTTTACAAAATTGCATTTTCTACTAGAACAGGGAGACGGAGACACGGGACCACCGGAAGGACCGCAGCGGGGTGCCTTTCTTCCCGGCGTAGACCCCCGCCAACAGGCGTTCCAGTTGTCTAATGTTTTATCAGCTCCAGCGCAATTCTCCTTTCGACGGCAGATCCCGCGAACCACGACACAAGGCACGGTCGTGGCGGCACAAGAACAACCGGAAGATACGGAAACTGCCGCTGATGATGAAGAAGACACGACCCCAGTGCAAAATTTATGACCACCCTCTGACCTCTAAAGGGCAAGGTGCAAAATGGCCTTCAGGAGGTCATAAAGTAGGCAAATAGATGGCATCCGGGAGCCCCCCCAACTTTGAGGCCTCTGGAAGGCGCCGCCGGATGCCAGCAAAATGGCTGTTGGTTATGGGCCTCCCAAAGGTGCCATGGCAGCGTTCCCGGTGCCTTCCAGATGGCAATCCCGGATTGACTATTAGGGCCTGTTATTAAACCACATAGTGCCTATTGCGGCACTGCCTACTATACAAGGCTGGATTATCCATGTATATTGTAATCAAGTGGGATTTTTTAACCATGATCTGTACGTTACTGGGCCATTTTATCCCCCGGATGCTATCATGCTAGCTAGTAATTTAGTGCAGAATTGCACACTCGTGATAATTGCCATGTTTTAGTTAGATAAATACATTTTTGTATTTTACCAACTAGCGCAATCATCGCCAATATTGCCCTAAGTTTCCTAATAAAACTAACTGGACAATGGCGCATATTGTATGATATTTTCTTCAGTTTTCCACCAATTTAATAATTATTTAAATTTTATTAGCGCTTGCATTATTGAAAAATGAGAAAATAAATAACAATAAACAAATATTGATAAAGAATGCGAAAACAATATCAATAATAATAAATACGATTAAATAAGTGGCAAATATAATTAGCAACAATTAATATTAGTAATTATTAAAGATATTAGCAATTGTTCATGGATGCAAGCGCTAATTTGATACTTACTATTATTATTCCTCATTTTTCTAACAGTATTTTATAATGCAAAAAGAATTTTTTGTAATTACTGTAACAAAAAAACGCTCTGAGAAAGAGTACGTTGTGCGAACGAAAGAATATTAAATTTTACGTAAAAGAAAGTAGAGTACAGTACAATTAAGTAAATCAATTTCATGAATAAATTTTGGAGAATTGGAGTAAATCCACACTGCCAGCCGCGGCAGTGTAACCCATTCCCGCGTTTGGAGGCGGAGCTAGGCAGCAACGGCAGCTGAACTGCACTGCTGCAGTCTGTCTTTTTCACTTTGTCAAGAACCTTGTCCATATGGATAAAAATTAATCATATATATAAACGATTGTTATTCTAATTTAATAGTTATTACAATTATAAGACACCACAAATAGTTAACTATCAATTGTGCTTGTTGGCAGAGGGTTGCTTGAATCGCTTTGTTTGATATGTTTGCGCTCATGCATGATACAGCGATACTTATCCTTGTTATAACAGTAATAATAACACATGTGGGTTACTGCAACTGACGATGGACTACTCACTACTTTCGCGTCTGGTGTTTTTACTCCTTCGAAACCTATAATCTTGGAAACCTATATTCCTAAATCTTGTACTCTGGATACTCTGGAGGCCAGGCTTAGCCAGCGCTCATTTCAAGATTACCCTGAAAACTCCTCGTTGTCAGTCGCAGATCTTCATGGGTCCCCAAGTTCTGCAGCAACGGTGCTTACGGTACGACTTTATTCTCACAATTTCTCTGAATAAAGAATAATCTTTTCACTAATAATTTCGTTGATGAGCACATGTGCAGTTTATAAATTATTCGGTTGGATTGTTTGGTTTTGTTTGTCATCGTTGATTTTACTTAATTCCTATGTTTTTGATTTTTCCTTAGATTTTTATTTTTTGTTGCTGATTAATTTTGCAGGCGTACCCTGTGATCCTAGGGGAAATCAAGGCCAACGGGAACTTCAACGCTCAAAGTCATACCATTCACCACTAATGAGACGTATGCGTTCAAGGCTCATCGCTGACGCTCAGGTACATCGTACTGTAATTAATAAAAATATAGATTTTTGTCAAAATTCAAATGCAGTGAACGTTGTGTATTGTACAGTGTTCAAAGACGTTGTTGACTAATAGTTTTTCCAATAACCCGATTTAGTTAAATTTCTCCTAATTGTCATTAATTTGGCAGTGCGACACTGCGACGGAGAGACGCTGGTGGGTCTTTATTGAGCAACGACTACCGCGCCCGCGACGTAACGGCCTCGTTGACGCTGGACCAGATGGACATTTAGAGCGCATCGGACAACGCCGTCGGCGCCGAGCCAGAACATATGCCAGGGCATACTGATCCGGTTTCCCGGCGGCCAGATTGTTTCGCTCAGCAGCAGATACACCGGTACAAAATTAATTCATTTTAATTATTTTCAGTTCTTTGAAGGATATTCTCTGCCTGCTTATTATCATATTTGAAATTACTGTAATTTATCAGTTTGGTCGTATGGTTGTATTTGGTTGTTTTCATATTTAATTTACTATAATTTTTGGTAAATATAGATTTTTATGTCATCACGTTGGTTAAGTACGTATTAAAATTTTAATAAATTTGAAATTGCAGCGGTTATTTTTTCTCGACAGGCAGTGACTTTCATATGGCGGCCCTAGCCTACACAGCGTGACCAGCGTCGGCTACGCCTTCGAGATCCCCAAAACCATCGCGGCCTTCCGTGGTAAGCTATTTTTGTCATTTTGTCAGCGTAGAAGTACCAATACTCAGACGAGCGCTTGTACGTACACGCGTTTTTATTTCTTAAAATTTTAAACACTCAGGAATTATTCGAAAATTTTTGGTTGCAGGTGCGCACGGAGTGAGTGTCAAGTGCATTTGTTGTATTCCCATTTGACCGTTTGATAAAGTCTGTCTCCATCCAGAGCCGGAATCCGCTTATTAAACATATATCTTCCGAGTGGATATTGGACACGCTAGCCTCGATTTTTAATTAATGAAGTCTTGTTTATTAAAGACATATCTGGTTTAGCTTTTAAGATTTAAATAAGGTAATTATCCTCTTGGTTAGTCATGGAGTGTGGTGGTGTTTGTTGGCTTGATAAATTTTATTTAATTTCAAACTGAATGGAAATCCTGCAATGGTATTGTCCTTATTACGGTATTTGGTGAATCTCAATAAAAACAGTACGAGCGAGCTATCCCGTACGCAAAAGCTGGGCAGTAGTAGGCTGTCACCACCCTCGTCTAGAGGCCCCTATATGCACCCGGGAGGCCCAACCGCACACCTCCAAATGGCCCGTGGAGGCCTTCCGAGGGGCATTTTCTGTAACCTTTTACCGAATAAAAGGAGGCCTCCATTCGGAGGCCTCCGCACTGGGGCAAATGGTCATAAGTAGGCCCTGTGGGGGTTAAGTGTACAGGCCGCTTTCCAGCCGTTTGGATGTCAAATTTTGCGCTGGGACAGCGCCAACGAAAACAGTTGCAACTACGGAAGATTTTGAGACCCGTCGGAAGGAGCTTTTTGGATTTTAATAAGCTTTCTCTTCTGAAAATGAAAACTGTACAGAGCATTCGATGCTGACAAGTGATAAGCACAATGGATAAAATTATACAGCACAGCATCGTCTCAGTGGTTAAGAGTACTGACAAAATACTGTATAACCTGCGTACAGAGAAAAAAATCGTAGACCAAATTTTTCAAAGCTTCATGATTAAGTGACATGCGTCAACCATTTTCTGGCTTTATTACACCAGTAATAAATAGTCTTTCCTAATTTCAAAGAGAAACTTTCCAGGTAAATTTTACCATCCAAACAGCTGCTTACGAAGTGTCTCCGTATCAACGGTAGTCGTTTCTTCGTGTGGGACGTTCTCATACGTGTCTCCATCGTCTGTCGTCGACTGGCTTCCCGGCAACTCGGTTGCTTGAGAATCCTCTGTGACAGATTGAACGATAGAAACCGTGGACTGGTCAGAAAGCAAGGCAGTTCCGCCCACTGGATATGGCGTGTACTTTGGCTCCACGACGGGACGAAATCTCCGGAAAAAGAACTGCGGAGCCCCGGCGTAAGGGTTGGCCAGGGCGAATTGATCCGCGCGGCCGTTTCCCGTGCCGGTTGATAACGGTCCTCGGCCGTATCCATAGCTGTACTGGGTTTTGTTATTTTCTTGCCCTGTAACCGGTGACAAACTTTCGAATAGGATAGACCAATAAAGACTGGAAAGTACAGAAACATCCAATATACTGTTACCAGCGTCCAGTGGTCGCTGTCGTAATGGCGGGTTATTACTGGCCGGAATGTTGGGCCGGTTATTCGGCTTTCGTTGACACCTGTCGCGAAAGCGACAGCGGTTAGGGTACTGTTGTGACCGTGGATCTTTGCCAGGTGGACCGGATCTATCTCGTTGCCTTTCTCGCCTACCAGCAGGTATTCCTGTAAAACAACAACACCGGGGCACTGTCGTAAGCTGCCGACCTGTGTCCTCTTGTAACGCGCAACGCATGCCTGGTTTAGGGAGTATGCGTGAGAAATGCCAAAAATTGGTTAATTATAATTAATATTATTTGCTATAATTACGTTAAATTTCGCTTTCTTTGTTGAGCAAGTACTCATTTGCAGTCAAGTACAGATATACCGGTGCAGTCATTTCTGCTTCAGAAAACAACCGTGATTGCTGGTGGTTACAGCACCTGCAAGCACTATCTTTGACCGGTTCATACTGCGTGTTCCAGCACTAATTCCTGTCACATGAAAAACGATGCGCTAGACTGTTGAAGTGCCTAATCATTTAGTAATCTGTGTGAATGTTATAAGGGGAGCTGCAGAAAACTCGCAGCTGGGATTACAATACACTGTACAGGCAAAAATTTGTAGCGTATAATGTATTTTATATGTTACAAATATGCTACATAGTCTATATAACTTATTTTGTATGACCGACTTACGACTTCCAGCTCATATCAACTACAGTAAAGCGAATGATTCAGTGAAGTACAATTAAAAACTATTCCTTTTTTATTGAATTACATCGCGTATTACACAAGTAACAAGAACAACAATCCTTGACATCAATATTGCCGTTCAGCTAATTTAAAGGCAAAATTAAGTAAGTACAATTAAGCAATTTAATAATTGAACTGATTAAGTCCAAGCACAGTAGCTGCGTACCGGCACTGACAACGAGCAGAAGACGGCGAGCTCAATTTCATGATTACGAAATGATTCTTGAAGTAATTATCAAACAGCATCGGTAACTATTGAATACAACCGCGTTTACACTGTTAACTTCAACAATATTTCAGACATAACCTGTTTGCACGCGGCTAATTTTGGATAAGTCGGTACAAATGTACGCATATAAAGCGACATTCAAAGCTCATAACTACAATATCCAGTGGTACAGAAAGCCAATAATACTTTTACACTGGCGGTACAGTCAACCTGTATCGCTACGATATAATGCATTTTTGTGTAAAGGTTTCAGCTTATGTACTGATTAAGGGTATGTCACAAAAAATAAGTTAAAATGTTGTCGAACCGAGTTAAAGTGCCCCCACACCATTTCCATCCATACAAGTAGTCGTCAGCACACAACAGACTAAAGGCTCTTCAGCCAAGTGAGCCAACAGTTACAAGGTTTTCGTTATTGGTTCCGGTAGTTGCGGAATTTGTGCCCTTTTCACCCGTTTGTTGTGCAGACTGAACCGCATTGTCCCTATGACGTATATGTGCACGTCGCTTCAGCAGCTTCTTCAGTGCGTTATGCATCTCGGGGCTGCCCATATTGAACAAGAACGGATTGACTGCCAACAGCAAATAGGCCATCCAATAAGTTATAGTAAAGAACTCATAATCATAATATCCAGTGCCCATCGATATACCTTCGTAAACGAAATATGGCGACCATGTAATAATCAGCGCCGCTAACAGAGCGACAGGAGAATGTAAATCTGGCGTTCTTTCTTATTACGCCGGATTTCTCCCGCTGTTAAAACACCGGGTGTTGTGTTGATGTTGCGAACGCGGCCACTGCGACGCAACCAAATCTGCCAGGTTGTCGCACCGTACGCGACGACAGTCATTAATGCCGGCGTCCAGAATAAAACAATAAGGACATAAAAGGGCTAGCGTACGACGGTTGCAAGAAGGGATCCCAATAACAGTCTTTTGGGTTTTCCTTGATTCCGATGTACAGTCTGTAGTACGCCAGCGACGGAACGATCATCGCATTGCTAAGAATCCAAATCTAAAGGATTGCAAGCTGCGATTTAAAACGGGTATGATACCGTTTATACGAGACTGGAAAGGTCACCGCCCATAATCTATCTAGGGAGATTATCTGCAGTGTTTGCAGCATGAGCGCTGTGGTTAGAAAGTCGAAATACATCCAGACGGTACATAGAGCATAGCTTGCAGGCCAATATGTGAAATATGTATAAATGGCGTAGTAAGTCATGCCCAGAACGCCGTTCAGGAAGTCGGCTACGGCCAAGTTTAGAAGGTAATAGTTGAAGGGCGTACGAGCATGACGATCCACAAAAAAAGCGCAGATTAAGACAAAGTTTGTGAAGACCGTCACGATGATCAAAATCGATATCAAGGAGATCTCCCACCAAGGTGCTAAATGTGCAGGGTCTTGAATAGCCGTGAAATTTGTTAGGTTACTCTCTAACATTATTTTGAAAAAAATGTACTGCGCTGGTACAAAGAATACCGTCAGAAAGACGGGAAAAGCAAATAAATATTGAGCTGGTATAGGGTTACTGTTCATAACATTGTCGGACAGCAATGGCCACTCCGCTATAAAATTAAAAAACTGCAAGCGATAACAAATACCGCTGCAATGTATATAATTTTGATATATTAGAGAATCCGCAAGCTTAACCAGCGTTATCTCAACGAAACGGAATTAAGATGAATGCTCAGGAAACGCGGAACGGTCCTTATAAAGTCGAGTGCCGGCCCGGAAAATACCTTATTATATTTATGCAATCTGCACTATGGATTGTGCATTACTGGGATTGACTTACATAAATATACTACCCAGGATGAAATTTGATTACCTTATTCGAGAATGTTCAGAACAAGCACCTGAGCCATTACCTGTATGGTTGTTTGGAGAATAATGATTTTGCTAAAATCTTGATTCTGAAAGAGACCTGCTGGAGTGTGCCCATCATGTGCCGCTTGAGGCTTGGGTGATCCTTTCAGTCAATGCGGACCCTACTCATTAACTTATGCCACCCGGGCCATTTGCTCCAGTAAGCGCAGTGCGTAAACGGCTCCTTACAATGGAATATCCATTCCATAATGGATGCTGAATACCATATCCAACATGCGTCATGCCAGTATAGAAGCAAAACAAAAACTGTGAGAGCCTTATAAAGTACATACTAACCAGAGATTCCGTTTGCAGTTTTGGTCTTGATGGAAACCATACCGTAATTTTAAAATTTTATCTGTAATTTTCCCACGGTCAGTATTTTTCGCAAGACTTTTATGTAATATTCAAAATATTCGCATCAGTTATAGCTCCAGATAAGCGGTACAGTACACGTCCACTCTGTTTGGTAGCCACAGTTTCGTTAACCACACGTCAGGACACCGCCCCAGCGTTCAACATTATGGCACAGCACCTCCAGTCTTCGGTATGACCCATTAGTAATCACCAAATCAGCGTCCATCTCCGGAAGTTACTTCCTTTACGCCACTGGTGGCGCTATGATCAAAATCACAATGTGGCCGCCCAGTCACTGTTCATCGGCAACGGCACAGGAACGTTTTACAATTAGAGTAGTTCGGCCAGTGGTAGTTTATATCTGGTCAATGCGACCAAGAACACTATCGATCCAACACGATTTCTGTGGCGTAGTGCACTGGCACTGATGTCACGAGACTGTGTTGTGCTATAGTGACCTTTAGTAACCTCTGTGTGTTTTCCGTCTAGCATGGGAACTGCGATAGGAGTATGCCCTTGTTGTCCTGTTGACAACAATCAGTTGGTTGTTTACGCCCTCAGTGGCGGTTCATCGTTAATGTATTATGCCGCTACCTCAAGTCGTGACAGTTTCCTTGCTAGGGCGTCACTGGTTACGGTTATGGATGCATGGGGATTACGTGTTGCTACTCATATATTGTCTTTGATCGTCAAGCAGAAAACGACAAGTGGAAGTTCTCGGCTGAGGACCGACGGAACGTGCGCGCTTGCCGGTTC